TACATATACATATTTTGGCTTTGGGGTTTGGGTTGGTGGCGGGGCAGGCAGGCAGGCAGGCAGGCTTACTTTGTCTTTTTCCCTTCTCTCTCTTTTCTCAGCTTTGCTCCGTGGGCAATCTCTCTCTTCACTTCTTGTTCGTGGTCGTGCTCGTGTATCGATGGCAGAGTCAAATGTCGATAAGAATCGTCTCGTCCAAGTACCGGTACCTATCTGTGAGGGATTGCACCGACCTTCGAAGGACTGTCCGCACGGGGAGAGATGGGGTTTTATCGGCCGGCGCTGGCTCTGGCCCTCGGAAGAATTCAAGTGGGGACGGGGGATGGGGACGGGGGATGTGATTGGGTCTAGGGTAGCGTTTCGAACGAACCCTTGCCCTAAACCCAAAGAGGCTTCGTGCTTACTAATGCAGTAGGTGCTGTGCGGAACTGATGACTGCGACATCCTCTCCCGTCACGGAACTATCACCAGAAATCATCGACTCGTTAATATCTTCATCATCACTATCCATCCATCCATCCCGATTCCCACCCTTCAAAAGCCGCCGACAATACAATCATGGCAGCTGCCCTTAGCTTCACCACTCCCGACTCATCAACCATACCAGGACAACTTCCACACCTCGCTTTCTTCCGCCGGAGGTGGACTGGCTCGTGAGAAATAAGCCAAATAAGTACGGACTTAGCTGGCATGGCCATAGAAAGCGAGCGAAAGTGGCGTTGATCACTCAATCACTCACTCACTCACCAAGCGCAGAGCATGATCAAGATACAACGTGTATCTACAACATGTATCTACACAAAATAGATTCGCCTTTGGAACTGGCAAATGTGATTCACAAGTGAACTAACTGGACGGTGCTGTGCGCTTGATGGTAGTCATGCTCCCTAACAAACTCCAAGAGCGATGGAATGGTAGAGGCACAGCACGGCAAGAAGAGAGTCACGTATGGACAAGAGAGAGTATTAAATCCGTATTCAACATCATTCCACCCCCAATCTCAAAAGGCAAAAACATACATACATACATACATATATGCGTTCCCGGTTTCCAGTTTCCAGTTTCCAGTTTCCAGTTCCCAAGTCCCTCCTCTTCCAAACCTTTCCGACCTCTCCCACTCCGCGCCCTAACCCCAGAGCCGAGAATGATGCTCACATTCTCCAAGCACCACGTCCGCGCTCAGATGAAACCCATTTCCATTTTATCCAGGGTGGCGAGGTGAAAGAAATACACACACACAAGCGCCTAAATGGATCATTACTTCATAACCATCACGCAGATATGACGCAGTAACCAGCAGAGATAGAAAAAACGAGGAAAAGAAAGAGGAAAAGCGAAAAACAAAAAGCTCACTCGCTCGCGACTTCGCAAGAGGTTTCCATGTCGAGTCGTCCGTCCGGCTGTAGCGTGTCAATTTGTTTTCCATGCATGCGCCGTCACGTCCCACCCCTTTGGCACCATGGCCGAAAACGAAAACGAAGACAGAGCCGGAAGAAGAAACCCGACAAAGAAATTTGACAAGAATCGCCGACGAGAGGAGGAATTTTGGAGGAGAGATGTCCCGTGCAAAGCTCCACGGTGGGCATGCCGGTCAGGTCAGTCGGCCAGCCGCGGGATTAGAAGTATCCGCGCATGGCGTCTTCGAAGCCCGGGCCGCCCTTCAAGTCGCGATCGAAAGCGTTGGAGACGTCGAGGACGCGCTTGATGTGCTCCATGCTGAGCGGTTCCTGGTTGTTGACGGCGAGCGCCTGCGCGGTGCGGATGGTATTCTTGATCTATCGCCACACCAGGTGTCTGTCAGCTTCATGTCATCGGGCGGAAGTGGAGGGAAAAGGGGGGGGGGGGGAAGAGGCAGCAGACCTGGCGACCGTTGAGAGCGTTCCGTGCAAGGGTTCGGTAATCCTCGTCGGTGAATGGCATGGTGCTGATACCCTCGAGGACCCGGACGCGCTCGATGAAGGCCTTGAAGACGCTCTTTCTCGCCTGGACGCTCAGCTCTCCGTACCGGAGCGCGATGTGGATTCTCGATTGGAAGGCGTCGTCGAACGTCTCGACGCGGTTGGTGGTGAGGAAGAGGATGCCTTGGAAGTACTCCAGCAGGCGGAGGAAGATGGAGACGAGGGCATTGCGGTGGATATCTTGGATGGTGCGCTTCTCCAAGAAGACGTCGGCTTCATCAAGCAGGAGGACAGCACCCCACGCGTGAGCAATGTCGAGAATCTTTTGGAGCTCACCTTCGAGGGTCCGAGGATCGGTACCGAGTTCTCCTGCCGAGACCATGTAGAGCGGGCACTTCAGCAGTTCCGCAATGCCTTCCGCGGTCAGCGTCTTGCCGGTTCCCGGAGGTCCGTGAAGGACGGCCACGAGACCCTTGCCCTTCCCTTGGATGACATCGTCGATACTCTCGGCCGGGTGGTACTTGTGAGACTCAACGAGTGCCTTGACGATGTCCTTGGTGTTGTTCTCCAAGACCAAGGAATCATACGCGCCCTCGTTCCATACGATCTCCTTGACCCCAGATACGGTGAACTCGAGCCACATCTTCTCCGCGAACGCGAAGCCGAGAACGACGGGTGATGCAATCAGATACTCCTCGTCGGTGAAAACGGGAAGGGCCTTCTTGTCTTCTTCTGGGGAAGCTTCGTCCCTCTTGGTGGCCGTCTTGCTTGGAACTTCTTCAAGCTTCTCCACAGCGAGCTCGTTACCGTCAGCATCGACTTCCACTTGAACAAGGAGAGGTTTCTTCTTGTCGTCGAGAACGACTTTCATCTTCATCTTGGGCCCGTCGTCTTCTTCCTTGCGAGAAGCTTCGAAGTGTCCGTGTCCACCGCCATCAGAACTACCGCGATGAAGGTAAGCATAGAAATGGAAGAGCGTCAAAGACAAGGAGGCACACGACTTACTCTTCCTCGCAACCGCGACAGCTTCCATCGTCCGAATCATCGGAATCCGAGTCCAGAAGATCCGGGTCTTGTGGCTTCACGGTACTGACGTTGTAGTTTGGCAAGATGCGACGATGGATAGCAGGGTCGATCATGATGCGGCCGTTGATGTTTACCTTGATGACTTGCCTCTTCTTCTTGTAGTATGCCATGCCTTCGTGAGATTTGTAGTTGACACCCTGTAGGGCGACGAACTTTTTGCCACGCTCGACGAGGTCGGCACGCAGCTTCTCCTCATTCTTGTGATACTTCAGCGGGTAGCAATTGAGACTCGTGATCTTGCGGGCACCCTTGAAGGCGGGAACTTCGCAGTCCATGGTTCCTGTGACGCATTAGCGGAATCCGGGAGTGTGCTTGAAGCAAGCGCTTCTTACCCATTCCCCATTGCTTGCCATCATGCTCCAGGTACTTGCCCTCGATACTGTACCACTCGCCCTTCATGAAGCTGTGTTCCTTCTCCGCAAGCTCGATCTTGAAAGCTCGGGGCTCGTCCTCGGAGCCGTATGTGGTCGTGTAGGCGAGAGTATTCGGCTTGTAAAGAGCCCAGAGGTACTCAAACGAAACCAGCCCGGAATCCAACATCGGGTACAAGGTCTTCTTTGTAGCCGAATAGTCCTTGTCGAGGTACTTCAGAAGAACCTTGAGGTGTTTTCGCTTGGTCAGATTACGCTTGATGGCCTTCTTCCGACCCTTCTTGACAGTCACCTTCTTGTGTTTCAGTTCTCTGAACACGCCGCGAAGGTCTTCCAGGTAGAGGAATAGAAGGTTAGGATCGACGACGGGGCTCTGTTCAACTAACGAGACCCCCTTGACGCCTTCCATGACTTCGCTGAGAGCTTCCTTGATGAGCTTGCTCTTGATATCAATGACGGTTTTCTGACCTGCAGTTAGCAGAGAGACACAGGAGGCAGAGTATGCACAGGGCTGCTGACCTTGTATTGCCCTTCCCAATCAAAAGTCCGCCGCACATTGAACAGGTACTGATCATACTCGGAGCTCTCTTCGTCTTCCGCCGTGTCGGTCAATTTGTAGTTGTGGATCGTCGAATCCCACAGCTGGTCAACTCGCTTGTACTCAAGCTTACTCCCACGCTTCCCCTTGGTCTTCTTCGCCTTCTTCTTTTTCGCACCACCGCCGGGATCCAGGCCGAGGGCCGCAAGCTTTTTGGCGTTCCGAGAAGCTTGCAACCGAGCCGCAGCAGCAGCACTACCACCCAGTGGGCCGCAAAGCGACCGCCCCAGTCCCAGCCCACCGAGGGCGGCTCCTCCAAGACTATGCTGGCGTTGGAGTTGTTGCATCTGCAACTGCAGCAGCTGCTGTTCCAGAGCGGCGCTCGCACTGGCCTCGTCCGTGTCGTCATCTTCCCCCTCTTCCTCGTCGTCCCCCTCCAAATCATCTTCAGAGTCATCGTCCGAATCTTCGGAATCCGATTCCTGAAATAGCGTTAGCACAAATTCCTCCCCATGTTGCGCAAACCAACGGGCTCACCGCTTTACGAGACTTCTTCGATTTGGCCTTCCGCTTGTCCTTAGCTTTCTGCTTAGTCTTCGTCGCCTTACGCTTCTTCTTCTTCTTCTCCTTCTGCGTCTCCGTCTCCGTCTCGGAGTCCTCCTCTGACTCGCTGGACCCAGACACGCTATCGTCGGAAGAGCTCGAGCCGTCGGAATCCTCGCTCTCACTCTCTACTGCCTTCCCGTTTCCCTTTCCCTTGGCCTTCGACTTCAGCTTCGGTCTGGATCTCGGCCTGCCAGCCGTGTCACGCTCCTTGTGTTTCTGGGACTTTGGTTTCTTGCACTTCTCGGGGGATTTGGGTGTCTCGACTGGTGTACTTGAGCTGGCCTGCCCAGTAGCTGAGACCCCATCACGATCAGCCACCTGCTCGCCCTGGGTTGTGCTTGGAGTATCCATGATGTGGGTTGGTGTTTAAAGATGATCGGGTAGGTTGAGGGGGGGAAAAAAAGACAAGAGTCGGGTGCAGCAAGAGGCTGTGAGATTAGCCGCCACACAGTTGCCTCACCGGTGCCTTGGGCCTTGTTTGCTCGGGAAAGAAAGGCTGTGGAAGGTCGATTCACTTGATCGGTTACACTAGACGTGGTGTCATCAGCATGTGGTTCCAAAGATCATAGGGTGGAGTTCCCGCTGCCGGATATGTAATGCTATGCCAGCGGGTTTCTGTGGAAGGTGGTTCAAGATGGGTGGCACAGTAGCAAACCTGCTAATATCTTTGATAGAAAGAAGAGAGAGCTCCTAAAGTACGTCGTCTAAGTTATCAAGCGGCTCTTTCCATACTTACGTCGTGTATGCCCTCAGCTGTTCTATTCCGCAGATGCCAACTAGACGAAAACCAGCAAAAGAGCAAACGGCTTACTTCTTACTTGAAGGCTTAGTAGACGGTTCTGAGATTTCGATAACACGAAAGTACACCGCCGGGTGAAGATTGGATGCAAGATGCAGTGATGCAATGCAGCGGCAGGCTGGGTTGTCTTATCGTGATAGGCCGGAACCCTTGTCAAATAAGGCTGAGTAGAGGAGAGGAGATGAATGCTGAGAGAGAGAGAGAGAGAAAGGAAGAATGAAAGAAAGAAAGAAATGAACGAATTCAAGAGAGAAATCATCTGGACTCAATTCCGGCTTACCTGGCAGGCGCTTCACCGACCGTTGGTGGTTTACTTACGCCGAGTATACGGAGTAAGAACACAACATGCTTGCTATACTGTAATTGACTTTGGACCCAGAACCCTATACATACAGGCAATAATCAATAAGTAAGGCTACTGTGGGGAAGTGAGTGAGTGGCAAGCAGTGGCCATAGCTCCTGCTTGCTTAATCCTATCCCGAATCGCATTTGCTTTCCTTATCCGGATTGCTAAAAAAGAGTAAAAGAAAGAAAAAGAGATTGAGATGCGTTGTGAGGCATTGTCTGTCTCACTTTGAGAGGTGGGTAAGGCTCACCGGATGATAAAGCTTGCTTGTACTTTTGTTTGTCTGGATTGAAGGAGTGGTGGTGCTGCATAGGAAGGCGGTCAGATCAAAAAGGAGCTTTTTGGAGCTTTGATGAATCGAGGCTCGAGCTCTACTCCGACTAATCGTACCCCTGATCGGATTACAAGTGATTGAAGTGAGAGGCAAGGGCTGCGATTCCTAATACTCTTCAGCGATACGGTCAACTTTTCATGGTTTTTCTTTCATCTCTTCGGAAGTCCGGTTTCCAGCCCTACCTCGCTTACCTTAAAAGGAATGCAAGAGCATTTGGACGGTCAGCTGATCGTCCGATGACCATCTCTTTAAAGGACAATTTTAATAGGTTGGTATGGCTGGTGGATCACCCTAAGTCTATAGCTAAATTGAAATCAAATCTGTAATTAGATTATTTTAAAAATTTAGATTATAATTGAATAAATATAGTTTATTATCTGAATCGTTATATACTTGCGCTAATCTTTTTAGAATACCATTTTATTAATAGAACGGTCTTATAGTAAAAAGATAATACTTATAAAGATATGTTGTGCGGAATAGGCATGGTTCCACCCAAGCTATATATGATATGTCATGTGACCTCGCTTAGTAGCGCCTTTGGCATACTAGAGCTCTTAGGTATATATATATAAATCCTAACGAGCTTCTTAGATAAAATATACCAAGCTTTATTTAATTTATAGAATCTCTTTTTAATCTTAATGCTAATAAGCATTATAGTTAAGAGCTATATTCGCATTCACGAGCTATTTAGTTAGTTTTTGATAATCTCCGAATTAATCGGAAGCGGATTTTGCAAGTCACTTTAACGCTACTTTGCTATAACTTTTATTTTTGCAATCTATCCTTTTTTTTCAATTATATTTATTCTTTATAACTAATACTTATCATTCTTAAGAACTCTAACCAATTTTCAAAAGCTTTAGTTACAAAATTAATCGCTATAATAATGGACGATAAAGTAGAAGAGGTCTTTTTGATTAACAAAACGAACTTTATAGATCGTAGCGACTTCTTAAGATAGATTACGAATTATAAATATCTTATTAAGCGCTTTGGCATAAAATAATACGCAGCTTTTCGTATTAGCGTAAAAGAGCTTGCTTTTTTTATTAAGCAGATCAAATTAAAAACGAAGTTTGCTATAGAGATGGTAACGGAGCTTAATAACGAATAGTTTTAAGAGTAAGACCGCTAACGAAAGGCTTAAAAGGAATTGCATTTAAAAGCTTTTGCAAACGATCTTAATAGACTTTTAAAATTAAAAGACGTTGAATTCGAAGACGTCCGAAAAGCGTATAACGATAATATAAAGGAATATAATTTCGCTATAAATAATTAAAAGGTCTTAAGTAATAAAAGCAATTAAATTATAGATTGGATTAAAGAGACGATTAAAAGCTTTATTTTCAAGGAAGCGATCTTGGCGGCTTTAAAAAAAAATAATACCTTTATTTAATTTTTAATAAAAAAGCTTTAAAAAATATATTGTTTATTTAATTCGAGCTTTAAACTATCGATAGCACGAAACTATAATAAATCTTTGCAAGCAATTAAGCAAAAGAGCGTTTTTTTAGCGGTATAGATTAAAGAATACCGAGCTATTTATAGATTAGCGAAAATAAATAACTTTTACGAGACGACGAGTATACTCGCGATAAAAGTATTTTTAAAAGCTATTAGCGAAAAATGGTTATTAATTTAAGCGTCGCTAAAGCTCGTAAAAGTTATTCGAAACGACGAGCTATTATTGCTTTAAAAGCGCATCCTTTACGATTATTTTAATTAGTACGAAAGCCAAGTTAACGAAAAGACTAGCAATCCGAATTCTAATTTTTTTAATATATTCGTTACTTTCGGAGATCAAACGACTCGTAGCACTTCCGGAAGTAATAAGGCTAACGATATTGCTTTTAAGCAGTTCGATAAACGCTTCGATAGCTTTAAAAGACTTATTAAAAGTTTTAAATGCTCGTACCTTAAAAAAAGAAACTATTATTAAGACGCAATTAAGTGTAAGATCCTTCGCTATTGCTTTAACGGTTTTGACGAAAGTAGATTCGCAAAGCCGAACCGAAATGATATCGTCGTTATAAGAAAGAGGTTTTAAAAGCTTAAGTTTAAAGCGCTTCGAAAAGAAATTACGAAAGAAAATTAAGCATAGATTTAAGTCGATAAGATCGTTTTAAAAGGCAAAGAAAAGCAATCGAATAATAGCGATAAATTAAAATACTTTAAAAAGGTATTAATAGCTATTATCGATCTTAAGCTTTTTAGCACGCTTGATAATTTTGTTTTTAACGGTTTTTATAACACGGCTAATAATAAGTATTAATTATTTAATAGCACTTTTCTCGATAATTGCGGCGCTATTTACTTTATTAATAATAAAAATCTTTTAAAGCTAAAGTCAATTTAACGCTTTCGCTTAATCGATTTTATCGAAGCTAAAACGAATAATCTTTTAATCGTCGAGCGAAGTATTAAAGTTTTTAAAAAAGCTTTAAACGGATTAAATAAAATTAAAACGGAAGATTTAAAGTTAAAAAACGTCGCTATTATTAAAAGGTTTAATATTAATATTATTTCAAAAGCTTTTTTAAGCAAGGCTAGCGTATAATACTCGGAATATAACGCAACTTTCCGCTACGAAAAAGTTAAAAAAAGCGTCGTATTAAAAAAGTTAAAAAAGAAATTTAACTTTACGTTTTTTAAATATAAGCTATTTAATTATTCTTTACTTTAATTAATTCGTAGCTCCTTTTGCTTAATAATATTTTTTATAATTTAAAAGCGTTTGCAAATACGTTATAAATTTTAAAAAAGCAATGTTTTTCGAGCTTTAAAAAAGGATTTATCGATACTTTAGCATTTACAAATAAGTTATTTAAGCAAAGAAGCGCTCGAGGCGCTAGCTTATAATACTAAAAAGATAAGACTTAAAAGAATTATTAAGGTTAAATGTAAAGCATATGCTATTACGCACGCTTAATAAGTCATATTTCGCCGTACGTTAAATATTAAAGCAGCTAAGCTATTTTATAAGATCGCTTAAGATTTATTCGATTTTCTTAACGGTTTTAACGAGAGCAAATAATTATTAATAATTAAAAATGAATATAATAAGAAGCTATTCGGCTTTATATTAAAAGATAAGTTGCAATTAACGATTATAAAAGTGCTAAAAGAATTTAAAGCATAAACGAAACGCAAATACGGTTTTTTAATAGCTGTTATACGTTATAATAACGATTTTTCGGTAATCGTAATTAACGTTATCGGCTTTATTAAATATTAAAAATAAGCGAAAGAAGTTAAGATCGAATTAAAGCTTTTATTATCTTTTAATTACGAACTTAATAAAAAAGCCGAAAAGGCTAAGAGAAAGATAATAAAACGGTTTATTAAAATGAAAATAAAAGCAAGGCTTTTAAAAAAGCTTTAGCTTAAGATTATATTAGCCGTTATTTACTTTTATAATATAATATCGAAAGCGAAGAGTTTTATAAAGAGTCCGAATAAAATGCTATAGCTTTAGTTTAAATAATATTTTAAATAATACGATCTAGCGATTTTTATACGAATCGATATCGATTTAAGACTAGATTATAGCGGTTTAGTTGCGTATAGCGCTCGTGCGTACTTAATAATTAAAAATCGAGAAGCTTTTCGCAATAAAAGAGCTTTTAAAATTAAATTAAAAGGATATATAAATTATTTAATTGAATATATAGCTTTGAATATATATAAAGTTTATGTTTTTATACTTTATAAAGTGATTATTATACGCAACGTAACGTTCGATAAGATTTAATTTTATTTTAAAAACGAAGAAAAATCGGTCGGCTAATCGATTAACGAAATTAAAAGCATCGTTATTAAATTAAAAGATATTAAGGACTTTAATTAAATAAAAGACGCTTTATTTA